AAACATGACACCACCCCTCAGCAGCCATTAACTGCCAATAGCTCCTCAGCTAGGGGTGGGGACTTGGTGCTTCTCCCCCATCAATGCTAGAATGTCAACAGGCTCCATCTTGGACAGGTTAGCATAGCTGCTGTGAGTTCATGAGTGAGCAGCCTTATGTCCAGAAAACAGCATTTAACTGCACTCCTCCCCATCCTCTGGCTCTTACATTCTTTCTACCTTCTCCTCTGTGATGTTCCTTGAGCCTTAGGGGTGGGGAGTGAGATCAGTGTCCCCGTTAGGGCTGAGACACAGTCACTTATTCTCAGCATTTTGACCAGTTAGGAGTATCTGCATTAACCATTGCTTACTGCAAAAAAAAAAAAAAAGCTTGTCTAGGGGCCAGAGGTTAAAAAGCACTGGCTACTCTTGCAGAGGACCCAGGTTCAGTTCCCAGCACCCACACTACAGCTGTAACTCTTGATTCCAGGGGATTTGACACCCTTTTCTGATCTCTTGAGGGCACTGCACACACAGGTACACTTAAATACATGCAGTCAAAACAGTCATAGACAGAATAATAAAATTTGAAAAAGAAGATTCTCTGTTGAGAACAACACTAATCTATGGGGTATGAACATAAATATTTAGAAGGTAGTTTGATAACATGTCCATTTAACAAAACAACAGTACTAGTTCCCCCCTAGGATCTATGATCTGCCCCGATGGACTTTTAACCATGCTTACAAGTGATGTTTCCTCCTGTGGCGTGAGCCTCATCCATTCAGAAAGTAGTTGGTTACCTCCATAACATTTATGCCTCTATTTCATCAGTGGTACATCTTGCCTGGCAGGTCAATATTGTAGCCTTCAGGGTCCAGGGCTGAGTAGGACTCCCAGCGGCCTGCATAGCACCTTCCAGCACTGTGAAAGCTAGCCAGCAGGGAGGAAATTTCCAGGTCAGTTTGAGCTTGATTTCTCTATGTCCTACAGCTAAAGTATGTGGAATCTTTAGCAGTAGGATCTCACCACCAAGGTCTGGTGGTCAATCAAGAGCAATGACAATAGCTTGTTTTGTTTTGGGGACTTCTGGGGCCTCCCTGACCAGCAACTCAGGAAAGTATCTCATGTCTGGCATTGAGATTTTACATTACTAACCCATGGCTTCTGGTAGTAATGTTATCCACTCATGCAGGGTACCTCCATTCAAAATCTTACTATTTAAAAAAAATTATACTTATTGTGTGTGCATACATGTGAGGGTTCACACATGTCAAGGTGCAGGCCAGGGGAAAACTTACCAGAGTCTGTTCTCTCCTTCCACTACGTGAGTCCTGAGGATTAAACTCAAGTTACTAGGCTTGGCAACAAACCCCTTTACTCATGAGTCATCTCACCAACCCTCAGTCTCCTTAAAATATGTATTATTAGCTGAATGTGGTAGCACATGCCCTTTAATCCCAGCACTGGAGGCAGAGGCAGGCAGATCCCTGTGAGATTGAGGCCAGTCAGGGCTACATAGTGAGACCCTATCTCAACCCCTGCCCCAAATATGTATTTTGTGTGTGTGTGTGTGTGTGTGTGTGTGTAATTTTAAATTATGTGTGTTTGTGGATATGTGCACATGAATGCAAAGAGCCCATGAGAGTCAGAAGAGGTAATTGGATCCCCTGTAGAGTTATAGATGGTTGTGAGCCACCCAGCTCTGAACTCAGGTCCTCTGCAGGAGCAGTATATGATCTTGATCACTGAGTCATCACTCTACCCCCCCATATGTATGTATATATGTATGTATGTATGTATGTATATATGTATTATTTAGTTTTTGTGTATGAGTGTATTGTCTATGTGTGTGTAAGTACACCTGTGTCATGCAGTAGCCCCAGAGGTCAGAAAAGGGCATTGGATTCCCCTGAATCTGGAGTTAATGGATGGTTGTTAGCTACCATGTGGGTGCTGGGAATCAAACCCAGATCCTCTGCCAGAGCAGCCAGTGCTCTTAACTAATGATCCATCTCTTCAGCCCTGACTCTGGCTTCTGTATATTTTAAATAGCTTACAGAGTGGTGGATTTTTCCATGAAGCTTTTCATACATCCTTAGTTTCCATTAACTCTCCCTCATCCCCACTTAAATCTTTCCCTCCAGTGCCCCCTTTTCTTCTCTGATATCACATATTCTACTGTCCCCTCCCCCTTAAGGGCCTCTTCCTCTCCTCCCTCTCATGGGCCCTTTCTAGCTTCCTGACCTCTACGACACTCCAAATTAAACACAGAAATCTAAAAATTCAAAGCTAAGCTCTACAGATTAGAGAACATGTGACTTTTGTCTTTCTGGTCCTGGTTATCGGTATATTTTCCAGTTCCATCAATTTTCCTATGTATTTCATAATTCCATTTTTCTTTACAGCTGTGTAACATTCCATAGTGTGTGTGTGTGTGTGTGTGTGTGTGTGTATGTGTGTGTGTATATATATGTAATATATATATATACACACACACACACACTGTTATTATTTGTTAATCAGTTAATGGACATTAAGGTTGATTGCATTTTTTTTGGCCTTTTTGACCCAGCGATCGCTTTTTTTTTTATCTTTTAAATTTTATGTGTGAGTATATTGCTTGCATGTGTGTAGGTGCTCCTGTGTCATGCAGTACCTGTGGAAGTCAGAAGAAGGTATTGAATTCCCCTGGAACTGGAGTTATAGATGGTTGTTAGCTGCTATGTGGGTGCTGGGAATCAAACCTTGGTCCTCTATACGAGCAGCCAGTGCTCTTAACCGCTAAGCCATCTCTCCAGCCCAAATTGAATGTCTTAGCTGTTGTGAATAGAGCAGTGTCTCTTTTGGGTATATGGAGTTTCAGTGTCTCTTTTGGGTGTATGTCCAGACATGGCATAGCTAGGTTCATACATATATAGATATTTAAAAAAACATTTTTTTTGTTGTTGTTGGTCTTTTTGAGACAGGGTCTTCCTGTAACCCCAGCTGGCCTGAAATTCACTATGTAGACCAGGCTGGCCTCGAACTCACAGAGATCCTCCTGCCTCTGCCTCCCAAGTGCTGGGATTAAAAGCATGTGCTACCACACCCAGCTTATATTAAAAAAATTTTTTTTTGAAGATTTACTTATTTTTGTGTCTGTTTGCTTGTGTGAATTTTTGTGCAATACATGCATACAGGAGCCCAAGGAGGCTAGAAGAGAGCATCAGATCCTGTGAACTGGAGTTACAGGCAGTTTAAGCTACCATGTGAGTGCTAAGAACCAAATCTGGGTCCTGTGCAGGAGCAGTCAGTGCTTTTAACCATGGAGCCATCTCTCCAGCCCCTGGCTAGAGCTTTTTTTAGTCCTTGTGGTTTTTTGTTTTGTTTTTCTGGCTATGCTGGAGATTGAACCCAGGGTTTTGCACATGCTAGGCAAGCTCCCCATCACTGAGCTCCATCCTCATCCAGAGTTTGCTTGCATTTATTTGTTTATTGATTGATTGGTTGGTTGGTTGGTTGATTGGTAGATTGGTCTTTTTTTTTAATATTTATTATTTTTATGTGTATGCATGTATCACCTGCATGTAGGTAAGTGCACCTGTGTCATGCAATGCCTGTGGAGGACAGAAGAGGCTGTCGGATCCCCTGGAACTGGAGTTACGGACAGTTGTTAGCTGCCATGTGGGTGTTGAGATTCAAGCCCAGGTCTTCTGCAAGAACATTCAGTGTTCTTAACCGCTGTGCCATCTCTCCAGCCCCAGATTGGTCTTTTTGAGACAGGGTCTCCCTGTAGCCCCAACTGACCTGAAACTCATTATGTGGACCAGGCTGGTCTTGAACTCACAGAGATCTGCCTGCCTCTGCCTCCCAAGTGCTGGCATTAAAGGTATGTGCCACCATGCCTGGCTTCAAAGTTTGCTTTTAAAATGAAGTTATACTTAAGAGCACTGACTGCTCTTGCAGAGGACCTGGAGTTGATTCCCAGCCTCACATGGCAGCTAACAACCGTCTGTAACTCCAGTTCCAAGGGATCTGTTGCCCTCTTGTGGCCTCTGAAGGCATTGCATGCACATAGTGCATTTACACGGAGGCAAAATATACACATAAAATAAGGCCTGGTGTGGTGGTGCATGCCTTTAATCCCAGGACATGGGAGGCAGAGGCAGGCAGATCTTTGTGAGTTTGAGGCCAGCCTGGTCTACATAGTGAGTTCCAGGACAGCTGGGGCTATAGGGAGACCCTGCTTCAAAAACAAAACAAAACAAATTATATATATAATCAAAAAAATTTAGAGAAAACACAAAACTAAAGCATATCCTCCAATTAAAAAAAAAAAGTGAACTGCTTTAAAGGAGGCAGATCTGAGTGAGGGGGTACAGGTGGAGCCAGGCTGCTCCACAAAACTGTAGGTGACTGGAACTGCTGTGTACCTCTCAGGAATACTGCAGCACTTGTCACTAGATGTTTATCAGATATCTATTGTGGGCTCCAGCGAGGGAACTGCAGGCCTTGTTTAGAGGCAGAGATGCACTGGCCTTGCTGGGGCTGGGGCTGAGCAGCATAACTCAACCAGCAGAAGCACTTAACAGAACCCTCCTCCTGCCAAACACCACTGTGGCCACTGAGGTGATATGTTATGTCAGCACCTGAGTCCTTCACAGAGAGAGGCACTAATGCACAGATCTAACGAGTACATGGCTCAAGGTTGCATGGTCAGCTAGAGTCAGAGCTGGGATTTGAACCAGCAACCCCAGAGCCCCTGCTATACTCTGGGATGGGTACCCTGTGCTTACAGAGCTGCTGTCTTCCAGGCACCCTTGGGCCTTAGCTGGATGTGGGATCTAATCAGAAGCAGGAGCCTGTCTGATTATAGTGTGGCAGGAGGGAGGGGAGCTCTGATGTCATGCAGAGCCCAGGAGATAGGCCTGCCACCTCTCATAGGCCAAAGGTCTTGGTGATGGGATGTCTAAGAGTGCAGCTGTGGCCTCTGACAGCAGTGGTGGCTGGGCAGCTCTGACCTTTTGTTCTTTCTCCAGATACAGCACGTGGGAGCCGGAGGAACACATCCTGGACCCTCGCCTTGTCATGGCCTACAAGGAGAAGTAAGGGCTGTGGCTGCTCTGGTTCTAGCTTTAGGCAGGCTATAGCACATCTTGATCACATGTTGCTAGCTTGGCCCTGGGCAGGGGTCTTTTAGGATAGGGTGGGTTGGGGGTGTCTAGTAGGGATGTCTAGCTTATAGCAGGGAAGGTGGTGGGCACCCAGGACCCATTCCTGTGTTCTGTTGGCTTCTCCCCAGAGGCCAGCCTCTGCCCTCTCTGTCTCTGTTGTGGCTTCCTGACCCCAAACAGAAGCTTCAGTTCTGGTGAGGGATGTGAGGGATGTACTGACACCGATGTCCCACATGTGGGTGGCAGCATTGTTGACACCCTTTCCAGAGAAGGAAGTTGATGAGGTTAGGCAAGGCTAGGGATGTGGAAGAAGGCTTCTAGCTGGGCCTCTGCCCCTTGAAGCACCTTGTTGGGGGTTGAATATGATCATACCTCACAAGGGCTTCACTACCCCAACCCTCAACCACAGTATGACCGCTGGAACATGTTTCACAACTGTTTTGTTTTTTAATTGTGTGTGTGTGTGCATGCGTGTGCACGCATGTACATGTGTGAGTGTGGAAGTCAGAGGACAACTTGCATGAGTCCTTTCTTTCCTACCATGTGGGTCCCAGGGATCAAACTCAGGTTGTCAGGCTTGGCAGCAATCACCTTTACCAGCTCGCCATCTTGTGGGCACACACCACATACACCCCACTTTTTTTTAATTTTTGTTTTTTAGATGGGGTCTCAGTATGTAGCCCTGGCTGACCTAGAACTCATTATGTAAACCAGGCTGGCCTTAAGCTTGTGGCTGATCCACCTACCTCTTTCTCCTGAGTGCTGACTTAGATCCCGCTTCTATAACTCTTCTCACTCGGCCCCTTATGGTAACCTCCCGAGACAGATACGAGGGTGTCACTGGACAGGTGAGAAACTGAGGCCAGTATGGGTGGTTAAGGGGCTTGTCCAGGAGCCTTACGACCAGGAACTGGCACAGCAAGGGCTTGCTGCACACCATCACCCTCATCACTGCACTGTGCTTTAAGTGACCTCATCGCTCTTCACTCAGGACAAGGGGGCATCCTTGTCCCTTGGTTTCTGATCCTTAAGATCTTGGTGGAACTTTAGTGTGAAAGGCTGTGCCACCCACTGGGAGAGTCCTGTGGACTATCTTGGCTTTTAAAATTTTTTATTTTATTTACTTTTATGTGTATGAGTGTTATGCCTGCATGTATGTAAGTACACCATATACATGCTATGCCTGTGGAGGCCAGAAGAGGACATCGGATCACCTGAAACCGGAGCCAAAAGATGGTTGTTAGTTGCCATGTGTGTGCTGGGAATCAAATCCTGGCCCTTTGTAAGAGCAAGTGCTCTTAATTGTTGAGTCATCTCTCCAACCTGTCTTGCTTTCTCTTTTTTTTTTTTGGTCTTTTTGAGACAGGGTCTCCCTGTAGCCCCAGCTATCCTGGAACTCACTATGTAGACCAGACTGGCCTTGAACTCACAGATATCTGAGTGCTGGGATTAAAGGCGTGCACCACCATGCCCAGCTGCTGTCTTGGCTTTTTGAGGCAGGGTCTCACTATGTAGTCCTGACTGGCCTGGACCTCACTATGTAGACCAGTCTGGCCTCCAAGTCATGGCACTCTTTCTACCTCTGCCTCCCAAGTGCTGGGATTATAGCCATTACTACCATGCCCATGTGTGTAGACTGTCTTAGATTGTAGAAAAAAACACAGCAGGAAGAGTTAGGCCTAGGCATCCTTTCCTTGCATCAGAAGACCATTGCCTGGCAGGGTGTGACAATCACCGTTGCCAAACCCCACCTCCACCCCGAATCCAGGTGGGGAGACTGGCCTAAGATCACCTAGCACTAAGGGCGAATGGGTGAGCTCCTGCCCCACCTTCTTTCTGCTGCTCACAGGATTCCTGTGAGGGGACTGCTGGAAGGGTGTGTATCATCTGGACTGAGACAGAGACCAAGAGAGGACCCAGCTTCCCACCTCTGCACTGCCAGTGGGATCTCTAGCTGTGTTGTGTCATGTGGATTGAGGGTGGATTTGTGAGCATCCTCAGGCAGGTGCTGTGTGGCGAGGTCACCCAGCAGAACCTGGTGTCTTCCAGGTGCTGATACAGCTCATTGTGCCCTCCCACTCAGCACGAGTGCAAATGAGGCAGGGTCCTTTCTCTGCAGGTCCCTACTGGTCCCAGATGGGACACCTGGGCCAAGTTCCCCTCATCAAGGGACTTGCCATCCTCAGCACCCTAGGTTACTCAATGCAAACTGGGTTGGCAGGTTTCAGTACCATTTGCTAAGAGCAGAAACTAAAGATGCATTCTTGGGAGTCCCCAGCAGCATGAACAGTGGAGCCCTATGTGGCCCTGGTAAGGGCGCACATGTTTTCAGTGACCAGTGTCCTTCCTGCTGATCATGTCAGAAGTCAAGCCCTGGAGGTTGAGCATCGACCTCACTGTTACGGTTCTCACAGAGCAGTGGGGAGGAGTTTGGGATGACTTGTGATGGTGTCCTCAGCCTGGACACAAGATGGGGTGAAGCAGACACCTTGCTTCCCCATAGATGTCACCAGTGTTTCTTTTTCTTCTGCCACCTGCCTCGCACTCCCAGGGAGGAGAGAGATCGAGCATCAGGGTATAGGAAGAGAGGTCCGAAGCCCAGGCGGCTTGTGCTGCAGGTAACCATACCTCTGAGCCTTCTCCCTTGTCCTTCCTCACCCTGCCCCTGCCCCACCCCTGCCCTTGCCCCTGCCCCAGCCTGTCCATGCACTGGCCCTGGAGCCCATCCACTTGCCTTCCCCAGCACCTCTCAGAGCACTGCAGAGTGGGATACTCTGGGTATGTTTCAATGGAAGGAGTTGGGGAAAGGCCACATGTGGAGCTGGAGCCCAGGGAAGATGGCCTGGGTGGGTGACTCTGGGGGGCCAAGGGTGGACACATAACCAGTATAATCCTAGGATCTTTGAGAGCCTGGGATGTTGTGCATAACCCTTGTTGGACATCCCAAATCTCCAAGCCCAAAATAGTAATACTGAGGATCTTAGCAGCATAAATTAGTGTTCAGGAAACCTGGCAGGCTGGGTTGCAGAATCCAAGAACTGGAGCCTGGAACTAGCATTCTGGAATGGAGCCTTGGAACAGCAGTCTCCCAGAACCGTGTTCTCTGTGGGTGGGAGGATGCCTGTGCACCCTCTTTTGCCTGCCTCACAAAAGTCTTTTCAGTATACCTTAAGTCCTGGCATGAGAAGCAGTTGGTGTTCTGTGATCCTGGACAGGTCTGAGTGGAGTTTCACACATGTGAGGGCTGATGGGAGTCCATGATGTTGGTCTCCTAAGGCCCACCTAGGCATTTGATAATCCTTGGTCCATATGAGTGACCACTCCTGGTGCTGGGTCACCTGAGGCTCTTAGCAAACAGAATGGCTTGCCCTTAGGTGCAGTGCAATCCATAGAGTTTATTAGGAACTGGTTCCTAAGAAAGAAAGTGGCCTCTGCTAGACAGGTGCCTGCTGGGCTCTGTACCCAGCACACTTCACAAATGGACACATGTCCTCTGTACACCAAACCTATAGGGTAGATGTATCAGTCGTCTATTGCTGTGTAACAAATTACCCCAACACAGCAACTTAAGACAGGGAGCATATTGTATCCCATGGCTTCTGTGGTTGAGGAAGGTGGAACTGCCTTAGCTGGTCATGGAGTGGTTCTAGTTCTGGTCAGGATGTTTTGGGGCTGGAGTCATCTGATGGCCTTGCTGGGGAGGTTGGCTGCCTAGTGGCGCCTCATGCTCTGGTGAAGTGATGCTGAGGGGGTTGATGGGTCCTGCCATGTGGACCTTTACACAGGGCAGCTTGAGTGCCCTCACAGTGTGGTCACTAACTTCTGAGTAGGAGATCCAAGAACAAGGAAGAAGCCACAGTCTCCCTGGCCTAGAAGTCACACTTCACAGTGAAGTCTAGGAGGCAGTATTGTTGGAGGCTGCCTGATAATCTAGTTTCTCACTTTGATGAAGTGCCTGCAGTTCAGAGAGACCTGGAGTTTGCCTGAGATCACACAGGATAGAGCTCAGTTGTGACCTGGAGCTCCTGTTCTCTGGGCTAGGTAGCAGAGGACAGAGGAGCTTCCGTGAGATGGCCTGTAAGAGCCTGAAGTCAGTGGGAGAGAGGAGAGCTGGGTTCAAGAAAGCCTTGGGGGTCCCCTGGGTCGGTCTTCCCTTTACCCCCACAACTTAGACCCTGGGCGTGTAATGATCAGCAGGCAGGATGGAACAAGGGCTGGCATCTCTGCCTCCAATTTGAGGGGATGTGACTTCATGGGCTGCATCTAATGCTTACCTGTCCTAGGAGCTCTTGGCCTCTGGTAGCATGTGATAGAATTCTCTCCTAGAGTTACATTGGCTCTCCCTTGGGATTGATGCTAAGGATTTTTCTTGGAGTTGTACAAACTACCCCAAATCAAGAAGATATCCCCAAATTATAGAGTTGTGGTCTTGATGGGTACATAAAATCTGCGGTCTCACTCTGCCTCATCAAGGGTGAGCCTTGTTATAGAGGCCCAGACCCCTGAGAAGGCCCAAGGCAGCTCCCAGAGCCTGGGGGTGTCTGCAAGCATCAGGGGGTTCTGCCCCTGAAGCTGGTGATGGTTTGCCCAGTGCTGTGTGCTCCTGCTGGCTGGATTGTCCCCAGACTCCAGCCAAGGTTCTCTGCTCTGCCATCTCCCTAGAGAGCTACTGTTTGAGCTCCTGAGGCACTTGAGGTAAAGATGCCTCTCTCTAAAGGTAAATGCCTCCTTAATGTGTCTACTTAAGAAATTCCTTTTCATGGTAGATGTCGAACCCAGGACCTTGCACACACTAGGCAAGCCCTCTGCCACTGAGCTGCAGCCCTGCTCTCTGGTGTATCAAAGGAGTAACCCCTACAGGCTTGCCCCTCAGTCCTGGGAAGACAGGCTGTGCTGTGGCAGACGGGGTAGTGGCTGAGCTGGGCCTGTGGGCTCTGGGCCATGGACAGAGGAGGCGGCAGGTGGAGCAGATGAGCCAGGTACTCTGGGGGAGCAACCGTGTGAGCAGAGGTGCTGCAGTTGTGGGGGGCCTGACCCGCCGCGCCCTGGCTTGCCCCCGCAGCGGCTATACAGCATGGACCTGCGGAGTGCCCACAAAGCCAAGGGCAAGGAGAAGCTCTGCTTCTCCCTGACATGCCCACTCGGCAACGGGAGCCCCAAGGGGGTGGTCAAGGCAGGGCCACCTGAGCTGGTGGACAAGGGCCCCTTGGTGCCCACCCTGCCCTTCCCACTCCGAAAGCCACACAAGGCCCACAAGTATCTGCGGCTCTCACGCAAGAAGTTCCCGCCCCGCGGGCCCCACCTGGAGAGTCACAGCCATCCACGGGAGCTCTCCCTGCAGGAGCCACCAGCCCCAGATGTCCTGCAGGCCGCCAGCGACTGGGAGCCCGCGGAGCAGCCCCCTGAGGAGGAGGGTAAGGTCACCCTGAGACTTCAGCTTGAAAGGCCCCTGACCCTCATCCAGAGGGCCTGCAGGCCACATAGCCATGGGGACAGCCAGGACTAATTTGGGCCTGACCTCCACCCCTCCTGCTCTAGAAGAGCCCTGCCCATCTAGGATGCCCTCTTCCCAAGGGTTCAGGCTCAAGCATGTTGGGGGATGGGCTGCGTGTTCCCCAGCTTCTATCCTCTTGGTGCCAACCTGTGTCCCATCCGTGTCTTTGTCCCGTGGCTTCAGCAGAAGCAGACCTGGCCAATGGGCCTCCTCCCTGGACACCCGCGCTCCCCTCAAGTGAGGTGACTGTGACTGACATCACCGCCAACTCCATCACCGTCACCTTCCGTGAGGCCCAGGCGGCCGAGGGCTTCTTCCGGGACCGCAGCGGGAAGCTGTGAAGGACAGTTTTCCACTCTTAGAAACTGTGTTCTTTGGGGCTGGGGTGGGGAACTCCAGAGATGGGAGGGGCTGGGTTAGAGTAAACATTTTATTTAAAAAAACAGCAGAAGCATGGGGAAGACCCCACCACCCTACCCTAGATCTGTGAGGGTCCTTTACAGATGCCTCTGGGACAGGGTGCGGAGGCTAATATTCCAGTTTCATCTCCAGGACAGGTGGGCACAGACCATCCTATCTGGTATCCATCCCTCTGTCATCTTGCAGAGGCTGGTTCTAGGAGTCCAAAGAGTCTAGGAGTTCCAGACCCTGCCTCAGACAGCTACCCCAGCCTTGTGGTGGTGACCCCACCCCTGGTTTTTGGCTTGGATCTTTATTTTGAACTTTCCACTTCAGCTTTATGGTGGGACAAGGCAGGCTTTGACCACCACAGGCAAGATCAAGATGAAGGGCATAGAACCCACCCTCCAGAAAGTTCTCTGTCTTCCCAGGGAGGAGGCTGCCTACCCAGCCCCTTCTGAGAGTGCTGTCCCCCCATCACTGGCCTGTGTGGAATCTCCCGTGAGCACACCCAGGCATCCTGGTGTGCACACAATACCTGCGTGTATGATCACACTTGCCCCGTATGTCTGCCTGTCCACTCGGACTTTGCACACCTTTAGAAACTGACAGGTGAACACAGTGCAATTCACAGCACAAATGAACTGGTCACGGCACCCTCACGCCACCTTGCACACCGGTCACGAAACAAGATTTGCCTACTTCGTTTGTTTGCAGCTGTCAACAGACTGCTAGGGTCTGGCATGGGCCTGATGGCATCTGGTCTCCAGGCAACAGATGGCCAGGCTGCAAGTGAATACGTGCCTGCCAGATATGGGTGAAGCCACAGGTTCTGAGACACCTGGGCCCTTCTTCCTCTCACAGGAGTTCGTGTCCTTTCTGACTCAGGTGATCTTTTAGCCCTTCCAACTTCTTTTTTGCCCTCTCCTCCACCTCAGCCAACCTGGGCACCCGTGGGTGCCAGTGGGTGTGGGCAGATAGGGAGGGAGGGAGTGTCCCGCCACTTTCTCAGGGCAGTCCTTGTCTTCTGTGTCCCTTCCTTATCCAACCTGAATGGCACAGCCAAGGCTGACCTCTCCTGCCCTGTGGAGGTTGAATGTGGTATGTGGTTGGTCAGGCTACACACAAGCCTATGACCCCGATGAGGGGCCAGAGCTGCCTCTGCTTAGAGGGGAGTAGTTTACTAGTTTGCACAGGTGTCCTATGGGCTGGTACCTTCCCGCCCGAGGAGGAGGCTCCTTTCCTGTCCCAGCCCTGTTAGGAGAAAAGGACAGAAGGGATGGGAGCCCAGGGGAGCATTACTTTCCCACCCTTCTGCCATCTTAGAAGCCAGCGTGACTGGGGATCAGCACTGTCCCCAATTCTGTGTCCTTTGGAAGCTAGCAGAATGTGTGAGCAAGAGTAAGGCCACCCTTCTATACCCTCTCCTGTTCCCAAACCAAAGAGTTTGTATCTGTTTCTGCTTGGGGTTCTGTCAGCAAGATTCTCAAGTCCTTAGACTTTAATCCCCTTCCTCTTTAATCCTCAGCTGTTCGGGGTCAACTCTGTGCTTCCATTGGGGGCAGTCTCCTGTGGGTGACCTGACTCACCTCTAGCCCATGGGCTGTGGGAACCAGGGAGGGAAGAAAACTGTAGTTGGCTCCTCTGGGCCATAGCTCCCAACAGAGGAAGTGAGGGTGGGTGGCTGAGGGATTTCCAGGTGAATGCCTTGGCTCACAGTGTGGGGTTAGGGGCAGTTTCTAGAGGATGCCATGCTCCCCACTCCACCCCCTTGGGGCACATGGGACCTGTGCTTGTGTACTTGAGGCCCTAGGGGGGCTTTTCTATAGGCCAGGCAGCTGTCTTGTCTCCACAGTGGCAGGCCATGACCTTTTCTCTCATAAGGCCTTTTATGAAGTCCACCAGCTCTGAGATACGTGGCCTGGAATGGGTGGCCCTGAGATACCTAGCTCAGGGCAAATGTGGCTTGTGGACTGCCATGAACTGACTCCCTAGGGAGAACAGCTACAGGCTTTGAGTGGCTATGCAGGCCTCTCCCAACCCTCCCACCCCACAGCCCCCTACAAGGCCAGTACTCACTCAAGTGGGGAGAGGGCTTCAAAAGCGGTAGCCACCTGTCTGCCTTTCTCCTGGCCCCACCCATTTGAATGTAGAAGCAGGGTGGTACTTTTCCCTTGCTCTGGGTTGGGGTGAGGATGTGCCTCAACCTTTGGTGTGGACATTCGCAGGGCTACAGCTGAGCCCCTTGGGGCTGTGATCATCATCTGGTAAGGTGGTGATCCCATTGCCAATTCCTCCCACCTCCTACCCCCACTCCCAGGAAAGGCCCTCAGTGTCATTGAGGTGGGACTTTTGCTTTATAAGTGGCAGACTGGACCTGGCTGCCAGGTCTCAGCACAAGACTGCTTCCTTTGCACAGATGAGCTCTGAGCTTTGTTCAGACTACATGAATGTATTTGGGAAGGACTAGGCACAGGCCTTCCCTGAGGGAGTGTGTGCTGGGGAGAATCAGTGGGTGCAGAGCACGGTTTTATTTTTGTACTGATATTGGTAAGAGACTGTATAGCATCTATTTATTTAGGTGATTTATCTCATAGATGAAGCAAAAATTATTAAAAATACATGAAAGATGACTAAAACATCCTTGAGCATCTGATTACTGCTTCTAGTAGTGTCACAGCCTTGTGACCCTTTGGAACACAGCCTAGGACTTGGGCCCCAAGCATGCCACCTATTGGCTACTATCTAGGACAAGTTATTCAGTTTTCTGAACCCTCTAGACCTCCAGTGAAAATGAGCTGAGGTGGGAAGGAGATGAACCTGTCAGCAGGTGGGACCCTTTGGTCCTTAGAGGCCAGGCTGCCCTATCCATGTATTTCACCTTTCCTCTGCATTGTCTTGAGAGTCCTGTACTAGTATTTCTGGGTGCCAGTAACCTGGGGCATTGCAGTCAGGGGTTGGGGAACCCAGGTGCATCTTGGAGCTAACTCACATTCACACAGGCTCAGCATACCTGCTGAACCCAGAGACAAACTGTCAGTGATGTGAGAGTCCTTCAGACATACCTGTGCTTAGGTTCCTCACAGACTTGCAGGATAGAGCTGGACAGGAACCAGGTCAGGCTGGCAGTTATCTGGGCAGGGTTGGCATTGATTGCTCTAGGACATGTCATTGAAGGAAAGGGATGCTTACAGAGGTGAAGGAAGGTGGGAGAGTCATCACAGCCCTGATGAAATGTGGGGACAGGCAGTGTGTGTGCACACACCAAGATCATGTCTGGGTTTCCAGTTTGGGCTCCAAATTATTGGTGGCACCTCATCTTCAAGGAGACAGAGAAGTGAAGCAGGCTTGGGAGTGACCCTGCAGCAGGAGCAAAGGGTCATAATGAACAGATGGAAGAAAGGCCACTACGGAGGTCACAGGGACCACTGGGAGATAGTTCTGCTTAGCACCTCCTAAGAAGTGGGTTAGGCTGGGCTAGAAAGTGACATGCTCTTGCTCAACACCTGCACAAGACTGTCTATCAATGGCCAAGATCAAAGAGGAAGCCAAGAGTTATGGCCAGTTGCAGTGTAACATCTACCCTGCAGTGCACTGCTCTGCCTGACTCAACCCCAGTCAGCGCCTGCTGACCCTAAGGGACTCTCCAGAGAGGCGGTCAGTGACACTCCCTGCAAGAGACTTAAGACTTTCTTGGTGGGATAGCCATTGGTCCTTGGGGCTGCCACTGACCACAAGTCTGCTGCGGACGGTATTCATCTTCCCTTTCCCCCCACGACTGGTATGTCTCCCTGCACTGACCTTCAGGTCATTCCAAGCCTTTGTTGCCCTACCCACAGCCAAGGCCATGCTTCCTGTACCTGTCTCACAGTCCCCGCTAGGCATGGGGACAACTCCAGGTTCCAGCAAGCTCCCCGCTCTCCCTGGTGTGAAGCAGCAGCCTCAGCAGTAGTGACAGCCTCAGGGTGATCACCTGTGTTGGCGTCTCAACTTCGTAATGCCTGTTTCTTCCTGTGTTCACCCGCTGACTCTAGGAAGCAAATTGCCTGGAGAATAGTTTCAGCTGCAGATTCTGAGGTGCCTCCTGCACCATTCCCTGGAAGGATGCTTCCTCCCCTGGTAACAAAGGTCTGTAATCCTATTCCAGAGTCTACAAGTCCTGCAGCCTCCACCTCTGGCCTCTTCCTGGGCATGCCTCTATTCCCCTCAGCACATGTACTCAGTCCTAGGCACAATGTTCCTGCCTGCACAGAGCTCCATTGTTCCCATTGGCCAGCTGCTCTGGATGGTGGGCGCTGCATGGGGCAGGGCAGTGGATCTGATGGCCATGCTGACATGGCCATGCATCCCTCACCAGATGACAGCCCCTGACCGAAGTCCACAGCAGGGGAAAGGCTGTGAGTAAGTCAGCATTTTGTCCCTATAGCATGGTGGTAAGGGCCTAAGTGCTGTGAGTACAGAAGGCACACCCATGTGGGTGATAAGTCAGGCAGGCGTGAATCAAGGGACAGTAGATCCAAGGTGCCCAACCTGCCACTACATTTGCCAGTGGCCTCCTTGGGGCCTGGCACCATGTGGGGCCCACCATCAGTAACTGTTCCTAACAGGTGGGACAGTCATCACCACTCTTAAACAACCTTGAACTAGCTTTGGGAGATGTCTCTGGAACCTCATGGCCTCCACTGCCCCCCCCCATGGCTGTGCTATTGGGCAGATGCCAGGATGAGATCTGAAGCTGGTCATCACCCACTGTCAACAGATGGAGGGACAGAGGACACACAGAAATCACCTGTTTTCTTGGAGTCCTCTGTCGTGTGTGCCCTGATCACAAGCCTAAGGCACAGTCAGATCTTCATGAGAACCTATGGAAAATTGTGTGGTGGTGCACACCTGCAGTCCCATTGCTGGGACGCTGAAGCAGTAGGATCATGCATTTGAGGCCAGCCTGGTCTAGTGGGACTGTGTGTCAAAAATAAATAGGCCAGGCATGGCATACACCTTTGATCCCAGCACTTGGGAGGCAGAGGCAGGCAGATCTTTGTGAGTTCAATGCCATCCTGATCTACATACCAAATTTCAGGCCAGCCAGGGCTATGTAGTGAGAACTTGTCTCAAAAATAATAAAATGAATAGTCAGATGTGGTGGCACATACCTGTAATCCCAGCACTTGGAAGATAGAGGCAGGAGGGTCAGGAGCTCAAGGTCATCTGCTTTGTGGCAATTTCAAGACCAGCCTGGGCTATGTGAGACGAGACCCTGTCTCAAAACTAAAATAGGGCTGGAGAGATGGCTCAGCGGTTAAGAGCACTGACTGCTCTTGCAGAGGATCCAGGTTCAGTTCCCAGCACCCCTGTGACTAACAACCTTCTGTAACTCCAGTTCCAGGACTCTGACTCCCTCATCTGCCCTCCATGGACATTGCACAACATTGGTGCACTTACATATATACAGGCAATACACTCATACACATAAAATAATATAAAAATAAAATAGGGGCTGGAGAGATGGCTCAGCGGTTAAGAACACTGGTTGTTCTTGCAGAAGACCCAGGTTTGGATGCCAGGATCCACATGGCAGCTAACAACTGTCCGTAGCTCCAGTCCCAGGGGATCTGACAGCCTCTTTTGACCTCTGAGGGCATTGCAGGACATGGGCACACTTACCTACGTGCAGGCAATACACGCGTACACATAAAATTTCAAAAAGACATCTAAAAGTCTTAAATAGGGAGAAGAGGGGAGAGTAAACAGCTGGCTTCTTGTATTTAACTCCATTCAGAGCTCTACCACCTTGAGATCTCAGCTCCTTCATCACAAAGACAGACTGCCCCCTGCAGAGGGAGATGGACCTCACCTGAAACTTTGTTCCCATGTGGAGACATGACATCACATACACAAGGACATGAAGATGCAGGTGACCTTGCTTAGAGTTGGAGGAGTAGAGGACAGGTTCCCCCAAACAGGTCCAGAATGCTCCTGACCAACAGGAGAGATGGGCCTGGGTGTTTGCCATGGGGAGGGTATGGGTGTGCTGGGCAGCCTGACCTCAGTGTGTCGGTTACCAAAGAGGAGGTACACCCACACATTCTTTTCAGCTCTTGAAAATACAGGGCGGAGGGGGAGGTGGAAGCTGGGAGTGGTCTGCCTCTGAGGCGGTCTTCAAACCTCCTTCTGAAGCCTTCTCACCATGGCAGGACTTGTTTCCAGGTATCCTGGCCAGCCTGTTACATACATGGGCAGCTGGCCTCAGCTCCGCAGGTGGCTGCTGGGCTAGCTGCACCTCATTGTCCTTTTGACACTGCAGTATTGCTCTTGGAGAGGAAGTCTAACTTGTGAGTGCAGTTTGGGCTGAAAACCCAGGAGGAAGAAAATGGCCAGCTTGTGTCTCAGAGGAATTCCTGAGGTCACCACGTGTGATGTGTGGGAATTGTGTGGTGCCCTCTTCCCCAGAGGCTCTCTGGCTGGGTAGGGACCTGCTGTGCCCAGACCGCATCTCAGCTGGAACCCGAGGTCTGCAGAGCTGTCCTCAGCTGACCACTACCTCCCTCTCCTTAGGCCGAATTCCACCCTAAGAAAAAAGAAAAAGATGATGTGAAAAGTATTTTCCAAAGCAAGCAATTCAATGAGAAAGGCCTTCAGTGTGACCAGAGTTGACAGGAGGTTAACCTGAGTCCACTGATTGTTCTGTCTGTGATATTGAGGATGGAAATTAAGGTTTTTGTGCATGTAAGGCAGGCACTCTACCACTGAGCTACACCTCCAATCCTTGATTTTTTGAGATGGTCTCATTATATAATCCATGCTGGTCTTGAACTCATGATCCTCCTCCCTCAGCTTTCCAATAGAATGCCACCATGCCATTGTCCTTCATGCATTTGTGTTTCTCTGACAGACTTTCATGGGCTGAAGCTATTGCAGATCCTGGTTCTCCACCTTTCTGCAACCTCCAATCCACCACAGCTGCCTCTGAGACACATGCCCAGCACCCCATCCTAGCATAGATGTGTTTCAGGGGTTCCATTGTTGGATTTTTCTCAAACTGGGGTTACAGACAGTCATTAGCCACCGTGTGGGTCCTCTGTACGAGCAGCCAGTGCTCTTAACCACAGAGCATCCCTCCAGCCCATACTGTTTGATTTTTTAAAGTACTCTTTGTACATTGTGCGATATTGCGTCTTTTCAATATGCATGTGTGCAAGTCTGTTTCCAAGATTTGTTGCCTATCTGCTTTTTTGAAAAAGCAGGCCCATGAATGACTACAATTGCCATATTTTTTTGTTGAATGAGTAAGTTAAGTATAGGACAAGCCAAAGTAAAAGAATAAGTAAATAGCAAACCAGGGACTTACAAACATCTAACAGAAGCAGACTGGGATAACCCTATTAGGACAGCCAGCAGGAGTTCCCCAGAGTCCCTGCAGAGCAGAGTGTCCACTGGCGTGAGGCTTCCAAATAAAGGAACAAATAGAAACATAATATAATCAAATTGGGTGCTCATGACACCCAGCAGAAACTGAATGGGGAAGTTGAGGTCGTCAGCTGGAATTCCCCACTAAGCTTTCTCTTCATGGATGAGCTTCTGGCTGTTCTTTCCACTGCAGGGACTTTTATATCACGAGATAAGCAATGCTTTCA